CTAATAATGGTGTTGGTTTATTAACTGACCATAGGTGTCAATGTGTGTCTGAATGGTTGTTTGTATTTATATGTGGCCCAGCGATGGACTGGAGAATTGTCCAGGGTAAATGAATAGACAGATAGATAGATAGATAGATAGATAGATAGATAGATAGGTAGACAGAGAACAATAATTAACACATTTTATGTTTTATTTTCAATATATTTCTACTTGTACAAACAACCTATGCTCTAGCCTACAGGGGAGACGGCTAGATTTTATGCCAGCGATAACCCACAATTCCTGTCTTTGTTGATGTTAGGCACAACACGTCTTGAAGGTTAGTAGTGACACCACGCACATTTGAAGTGACGACAGAGAATAAAGTCTTTTAATTTGGCAACAAAAATAACACGTCACAAAACATTGCACTTAAAAAGAACTGAAGAGTACCAGCCTAAGTGGGAGATGTCTACAGGGATAACTGCTCCTCATGCATTGTGCTTTTGTATAAACAGTCTTTCGCTCTACGTGCCGCCCTGCACACCAAAGCTCTGGAAAACGTCCCCTCGGGGACACATCTGCCTTCAATAAACCCCTATTGCTATAGAAATTGTGTGTTAACTTTCGAGGCTGTTAACAGTAAAATTTCTTTTCAGTAATACATATAGAGCAATGCTATCACACCAGAAGAGAAGATTTCCGGGGGCAGAATCTCATATTTGTCGCTCTTTTGCCCGTCTTTGCCCCAGTAACCTGACATGCACCCTTGATGTGAGGAGAAGAAGGAATGTGCAGGGCTGGGCCGTCAGTGGGGAGATGAGATGTGTATAAGCGGGGGTGGAGGGCGTGGTGGGAGAGAGGTAGGGGGTTGAGGAAGATGAGGAAGATGCAACATCACCGAGTCCCTGCCTGCATGTGTGAGAGAAAGGGAAAATTCTGGTTGATGTTGGAATAACAGATGAGAAGGAGCAGGGGAAGAGCTGGAACGGGATACTGCAGTGGAATCCGAGGAGAGGGAAGCCTGAATCGATATTTATACTCCAAGGCGAGACAATTCCAGAGCAGTAATTAAATTTGTGTCATATTTCATTCCATTACTGGCCGGAGCTTGAATTTAAATGATCGCAAAAAAGAGGGTCCACTCTTGGAGTGGATTTCATTTATTTTTATGACGGTGAATAGAATCGAGCCAGACTGAGAAAAATCAAATACTACTTCGGTATTCATGGGCTTATTGTCAGTAACTTGGGGACCGTTCAGATGCAATTCAGCAGAGGTGGAGGGTGAGGAACAAATCCCTCTCAGAGAATGTCAGCTCTGTGTAAGCTGGTTTACACCCAGACTACTCACAGAGACGGACGAAACAAAGCAGTTGCATTTGAATAATAATTAGGAAAATGATGCCATGCCGGCGTTGATTGGAAATGAAGACGGATTCCAGTGTCTGCCCTCCTCCCCTTTGTCTGTGTAGATGTAGGAGAAAACTCAAAACCTTCAGCTGCTACTGTCAGCTTTTTGAAGGATGACAGCCTGTGAACTTAATAAGTGCTCCCCAGTTAGTTAGCAAAAAGAAGAAACTGCATGGCTGACTCTGGGAGGACGACTGCTCCTCTGTAAATCCTACCAAGAGTGTTTACTGTAAGTATTAGTTTCAGGTGCTGCCTCCCTATTACAGCACTCTGCACTTCTGACAAATGGAATTTAGGGGGAGAACAACAAAACACTGCTATGCTCTGTATAGCCAATTAAAAGTTTCCCTTCCATCTTTTACCCTTGGAGTAGCAACTGCTCTCTGCTCGGTTCTAACGCTGCTGCGGGAGAAGAAAGAAATGAAAAGACAGAGGAGTGCAGTCAAAGTGCAGCATCAGTGATTTTTCACGGCTATTTTTTTTTCTTAAACCTACAGAATATTCCTTTGCCAGACCATCTTTACTCAGAAATGCATAAAGTGCCCCTGACCTGGGTGTGCACGCTGAGCTGCTTGTAGAACCCAGGAGTGGATGGAACGTCTCTGGAGGTGGGCCCTACTCAGAACAGGGGTTCAGATGCCTTTGGCATGGAGGGAAGCATGTCCAATGGGAGACATGACATTTGATATACATAGCTCCTTATGTTGTTTGTTCCAGTGACCATGGAGAAGAAGGATTTTGAAGTTTTCCAGAGTTTCTTTTATTTTTTGTAAATTTCTGCACAGCAGCGGCAGATGGCTTAGTCAAACCAACAGCCAGTTTAATGGGAGAGTTAATGATGTGAAAGGAAAGTGACCAGCACCAGATGGATGGATGGATGGATGGATGAGTGGATGGACGGATGGATGGATGGACGGACGGACGGATGGATGGACAGATGGATGGATGGCTGGACGAATGGATGTGTGAATGGATTGATGGGTAGATGGATGGATTAATGGGTGGACGGATTGATTGATGGATGGATTGATAGGTGGACAGATGGATGTATAGATGATGACTTTATTTTGGAAGAGCTAGCGTATCAGGTTCAAAAATACATTTTTTTTGTGAACATATATACAGCCTTACCTTGTGGGGAGGACCAAGAAGAAATAACAGTGGTATGAAACTGAAATGACCAGTAATACAGACTGAATACACAATATTTAAAATGGTCCCGGCAGAACATTTAAAAATATATCACATATATACCAATACTGTATACTTCAATATTAATTTGGCAGCAAATGGTAAAATAGTATGTTTGTGTTCTTCCCTAATGGACAGACCTACTGTTTGACTCAATTTGAAGTTCAAACTGTATGGAATTTGCATGTGCACATGGTTGTGGTTTGGTCCAGTTGGTCTGGTTTTCCCGGACCTGGAAAACCAGAGGTTTGTCTTCGTATGTGGTCCTGCGATTGTCTGGTAAACTATCGATGGTGTACCCTGCCATCACTCACTGACTACTGTTTTGGTCTGCCCCTCAACTTAGAAGTAAAATAAATTCAATTTCCCCAATTGTCTACAAAATCCCAGTATGTGAGTTAATGTATTTGTACATTGTTTTTTGTTTTTTTTTAATTACAATCAGAAACAAACAGCCAAACTGTAGGGAAGAAATAATGTGTCCTGACCCATAAAGCTGACAGTTGCAAAGATGTACACAGTGATAGGAATTTGCACACAAAACTGCCCGGAGTGATTTAATTGGACAAACACGTACAGGAGCAAGAGGGATGTTTTGCTCTTGACAAAAGGGCTGATAACGACAGAGCAGCCTGGTGTCAGCGCTGCCAGTGGAAGCTGTTACTGGCCTCAAAAAATGCAGAGAAAGTCAATCCTTGCAGCAACACCACTGCACAGAGGGATAATCACTTCTCTGTTGACACGCTGATAAAACTTCATGCATGGCTTCTCACTTTGTGAGGAGCAGCCAGCCTGAAAGAATGACATCTCTCCTCATTATTGTGGAGAACATATGGGAGCCCACACAGCTGCCAGACATGGGGGCTGGAACAGGCTGGCCTTCGGTGAGATCTCGAGCTGCTCACAAGGTCACAGCCGGAGCTGAGCGCACAAAGCTCCAGCGCTCACTGTAGCACTGGACGTATCGTAACGGGTCTTTAATCACACCCGGCGCTTAAGACGTTCTCAATCACTTACATTTCTGCGAGGCTGCCTGCTTTATTTTCAGGGTCATGATCGGCTGCAGCTCCCGGCACAGAAACCACTGACAGTCACTGAGTGTTTGCTGCTTAATGGATTTGAACAGTGTCAGCAAAAGCACACAGACCCAGTGACAGACATGCAAATTCCAAACTCACTCATCTGGAAATGATTATGTATTTGCGTATAAATAAATAAGTAAGTTAAAAAAAACTCAACATTTTTAATATTAGCATTTCAATGCACATTTCTAGAAACCAACTCTAGATGGCACTGGAGGCCCAACGGACTGGTTGATGTGTGGGGAGCATGTTTACGCAGGCATATCTGCATCTGTGCTCTACCTCCAGATTCAATTATTCATCATTTCTTGCGCAAATTTGCTTTGGCTTTTCTACCTGTCTTCATTTTTCCTCTTTTCTTTTTCGCCTCTTCTCAGTTGTGTTCATCATTTGTTACGCCGGGGGTCACAATGTTTGGACAGAATAGAAACTCATCAAGTCACTGCGTGGGTTTCATCATTGTACTGATACATTTTGGGTTATTATACTCTCTCTCTCTCTCTCTCTCTCTCTCTCACACACACACACACACTAGGTAATCCTTACGTAATGGTAATCCAGATTCTAATTCTAACATCTACACTAAGTCTTAAATATCAAATCACCCAGTCACTCATTTGACATTTTCCCCGTCCCCGACAAGGACAGTCTGTCCACCACACACATATAATTGCCTCTAAAGTAAGTCTACACAAGTATAGCTGTATCAGAGACACATAATGTGAAGAAGTGTGGACATTGTCATAATGTCCTGTGGACATGTTTATATTCTACAGTATGTTTCTCCAGATTTGATTCAATGGCTTTCAATATATCATGCATGTGTTTCCTGAATGCTCACAATTCATTATGGTATCTTTTATGTGAGGGCCATTTCTAATGCAAAGAATTACTCATAATGACATATTGACTTTGAAAACGCACTTTTTATCTGAGTGACTCGGTATCCATGGTAAGCAGATTTGTTGGTCACAGTGAACTGTCAAGCATCTTCAGGGCATATAGGATTTATTATTTTTTTGCTGTTCAGGTTTTCACATATCCAGGTCATTTCATGCTAAAATGTCCAGAAGTAGGCAGCGAAGGGCTTTAGGGTACCTCTCTTCAGTACGTGTTGGCAACTTTTAAACATCTTAGAAAAGTGAAAAATGCTATATATCGTTGTTTCCCAAAGACTGTGTTGTGACCCTCAGGTGGGTTGCAAGAGATTTTTTTTTTTTGGGGGGGGGGTTATCTCACATAATGGTTCCCAGGAGTTTGCGAATAATGTCTATTGACTTGGGTTGTGAAGGTTTGTGACTTTTAAAATACGGGTCCCCAGAATAAAACGTTTGGAAAACACTGAATAAGACCCTGCAACAGGCTGCCACACGGGAAGCGTTATCTTGCATTTTGTGTTTTAATTGTGTTATTGTACCAAGGACTGCAAGTACTGCACCATCGTTAAAAGATCATTAAATTTTCAAAATAAAACATCTTTTAGACTTTCTTATGTTAGTATCACAGTCTGAATGACAGATTATCTTTAAATGATAAAAGTAAAGGGATATGACTGGATTCTATTTGAATGAAGTAAATGAGTAAAACTGAAGTACATTTTTTCACTATGTCCCACTTCGGCCTGATACTAACCCCAGGTTGGGGACCCCTAGTTTGGGTGCTTTTGCAGTTTTTAGGTTGCTATTGAAGTTTTGTATATAAAAAAACCCCATCGTGATCCCACTTAGATCCATGGAGAGAACACACACCTGAAAAACATTGCTGTTGATAATGAACTCCTGGTACACACTCCCCTCAGTCGTTCATGAATACTCAGCAGAGCCCATTATAACCAATAGATCCAATGAGTATGTGTTTTTGCCAGAGTCTGTCGTAAAAGGAAATTAAATATGTATATAACTGGAAATGATTAATATTTGGATCACAGTGAAGATGGCTCTCATCCCAAAACTTAAAGAGTTGTTAGATGAAAGCTGGGATGCAAATGTGTCCCATCATTGAACCCAACGATGCAACAGCTGGGCTGCACCATGTTTCCATGATTACTGATTTGTAACCATTCAATTTGCACACCTCAGGTGAAACTGAGGACATTTACTTTAGAAAAAAGTCTGTGAGTTTATAAAAATCCTCCACCCTACTTTTAACAGGTTTTCCACCACTAACCTCCAACTTTTTCATTTTATTTATATTTTGAAATTCAGCAGGCTAAAGTGGCTCCTTTTAAAAAAGGCCGTTTGTTGGGATTTAAAGACAAGCTGTTCCGAGACTTATTATATTTTTTTCTGAAGTTTGAGTGTGAAACGTTATTGTATTGGATTATTTGGAACAGCAGGAGAATGATGTACCGCCTCAGAAACAGCTGGGTGCTGTTATTTCTCTGATTAACTATGTCTGATTTAGTCTGTCTTTGTTCACACAGGACACAATCTTAGGTTTCATAAATTATTTCAAAACCACACTGAAGGGTTTTTTGTGTTAAATGACGATGATACGTGGAGATTTAAAATCTTTACCAAGACATGTACAGATTGACAGATTGCAATTGACCTTCATCAATGTGTCATTCACAGAGCGGTTGGTCATCAGGGTATCACAGTTTGAGAACCACTGATGTATGGTATAGAGCAGCTGGGTAAATAATGCTATTAGGCCAGACACAGCCCTTTGGGCTTTCAAATCTGGCCCGCCAAACACTGGTACAAGATGTGATAAATACTTCTGTTTCAAGCATTACAGCAAATTCACAGTAATTTCAGTTGCTATATTATCTTTGAAAGTTTAGGTTTGTTCTTGTAGATCTAATTTATATTATTATTTTTTTGACTAATTTTGGCTTGTGAGCCAAAAAGTTAGCCTACCCCTGGTTTTAGAGTCGGTGTCTTGTTTAAAAGATAAAAGGCTGAGTTAAAGGTGGAGGAGATAAAGATGCTTTACTGGGAATGCTGAGGATGGACAGCATTAGAAATGAGCAGATCAGAGGGACTGTTAAGATGAAGCAGTTTGGAGATAATGTTTAAGAGGTTAGGTGGAGATGGTTTGGACATGTGTTGAGGAGAGAAAGTAGATGTTGTGACAGAAGACATGGAGATAGTTGGACTAAAAAAAGAGGAGACAGGAGATAGGGTGACATGGAGGCAGATAAAACAGATCAAAATGAGAAGATGAAGAAAAAGAAAGAAAGTTGCAGTCTTTACTGACATTAGCTAAAAAGACAGGGTAAGATATTAAAACAATCTCCACATTCGTATTTAAAGACACTCGCCCTGATTAGCGTTGGGCCATGTGTATATTCAGACTGTGTAAAGAAGCCCGAACCCCTGACTCTTTTTATGTTGCTGGTAGGAGCAGTGATGGGTGTTTGCCGGTTCTATATATTGATTTTTCCACTTCTTTGTTGTGGATAATCATTTGCTTGGTTTAACAGCAGTAGTTTTACCCTGGTTGAAGTCAGACGCCTCTCTGCAAGGCTGGAAAACAGAGGCTGTAGGTGTTTGTTTTTTTCTCGTATCATTAGCCTCATCATATTTTTAAGGTAGCTCATTTGTTCATGGTAGTAAAGCCAGAATATTCCTCAGGTTTTTGTAGCTGCTAAGCAGGTGCTATACCTCTGAAGAGATACTGTGTTTAGTGTCTTTCTCTGTCACCACAACTTACCTTGAAGCAGCAGCAGCTGAACCAGTGCTGGGGATTTTTTTTCCTTCTCAGTTCACTGACTGGTAGAAACATGACCCTGTCAGAACCGTGGGGAGGGAACAGGGGAGTGACTATGGCAACCAGCCAAGGACATGTTGACTTTTTTTCTTTTTGGTCTTGCTGGTGTTGCTACATGGAGGCTGGAGATAAGATAGGAGCATGGAGGTTCGCCTAAGGGGTAGATGAGAGACGGTTTGGGGTAGAGTTTAGTTTGAAAAGGAAGTGGGGGGAGACGGGAGGGGCAAAGGGAAGTGGCAAGAGAGTTAAGAGTGGGGAGTGAGGGGGAACTGATGTGTGAAGAAAGAAAGAGCCAAACAAGCCTGGAGTTATAGATTTCAGAAAGGTAAGATGATGGAGAGAAAAGTCAGAGAACAGAAGCAGAGTTGTAAAGTGGAGAGGAAGAAGCCAGACTTTGGAGGATGTTTAATCTGTCTGCTCCTCTTAAGAACACGGGGGAATTTTGTTTTTGCCTACTTTGTTGCAGGTGGGCTTTGAACGTTGTTATGATTTTGGAGTAGCACAGTGCCATAATTCACCTGTGTAACCTGAGGTACCAGAAAGGTTCTCATTTCACAATATACAGAGTTGAAATGTTCCAAGAAGGATCTGAAAAGGTTGGATTTTAAATAAATTGATCCCATATTTGGGGAATTTTTGATCCATTGGACGGGAACCGAACCCAGGCCTCCCAAGTGGCAGGTGAGAATTTTACCACTGAACCACCAATGCTTGATAAGTAACAACCAAATGCCTGGAAACATTTCAGAGACATCTAAAGGTCCTTGACAGGGTTTTCTTATTCTTTCCAAAGTGTGTTTTGTTAATTCAGTTTTTTTCACCCCCTTAAGAAATTTTTTTTTAACTATAAACCCTTTTTTTTAACCAAGCTTGATTTTAAATGACTTAAAACATTGAAACTTTCCCTCAGATTTTCTATTCCTTTTCTTTGCCTTACCGGATTTTTTTTTTTTTTGAGATTTTAGATTTTAGACAAGGCAAAAATAATAATAAAAGAAATTCTTTGCTTGCCGATTTCTCCAAGCTTTAATGGATGATATGTGGAGAAATGGCTTTTCATTGTTTTGAGAACTGCTTGGTTTACCCTTGAATCTGTGCAGGGATGGTGCATAAATATCCTTTAATATTATAATATTCAACACCAAACCCTATTAAATCCAATATCTTTTGAGTTTCTCTGACTGAGCACAGATTAAAGATAATCAAACCGAGGAGAGATATTTGCATTGCTGACTCATACTCTCCGAGCAGACATCGGATAGAAACTCTCTGCATATGGAAAGTTTATTTTGAGTCATGTCAATAAAAAAAAAAAGACACAATTTTTTTTATTTTTTATTAACCATTGCTTAGGTTTTTGCCTTCCCGGGGAACCTCAGCTCAGTGCTGGAAGATATTGAATAAAAATTGCAAAAAGATGATTGAGTCTTGAAGGGGTGGAAATATAAAGATGAGAGTCGGTGCATTTAGATTGTAAAAACCTGTCATTCTGTTGCCTTAGGAGAGTTCAGATCGTATTAGTGAACTGTCAGCACTGTCAGAAACAAACGAGAAGAGTTTGTTCCTCCCTGTTATCATAGTTAATGGAGCAGCTCCGGGCTGTACATCGATGTGACAATGCAGATTAGAGTTGCAGAGCTTTGGTTTTGAAGCTTGGAGAAAAGTTTTTCCCCAAACCCAGCAAGAACTTTTTCAGGGCCAAAAGAATGTGAAGACCCATGAATTGTGAAAATTTGTCTTTTTTTTTTCATTTGTCAGAGAGCTCCTGTAGAAGAGTTTAAAAAAGAGACTGCGTAAATAGCAGGGACTACTGACAATATATTTGCTCTTCATCAGTGCACTCCGCCTTTGCACCGCGTCATTGTTGACACCCTCCACCAACACTGTGACATGTCTTTTAGTTTTGACAGGAGTTGTCATTGGCTCCCATCATCATTCCTCCATAGGAGTCCAGGCATCTCTTACATGCTGGTGTAAGCCACAGCGGGAACACTGCAGGGACTAGTGGGAGATGTATGTTCTGGATATGCTGTTTGGTCTTTTTCTCCTTGTGTGATGGATTCAACATGATCCTAGTATGGAGAGTTTTTCCACAAATGGAGATAGGAGTTTGTATTCCATTTTGCAGATAAAGTCTAATCTGTATTATCTGCAATTGATAATTGCGAGAAATCTACTTTTACGTTTAATTTACTTTTTGCATCCACGTTGTCAGCACATTTGTTGAATGCTGGGTTCTCCTGAGAATCCCCACCCTGTAGCCATAACAACAAAAAAAGCTCCTCGTCCTCATGAGCATAGTGTTTTATCGCTAGGTTAGAAAAACCATATAACAACTCCAGTCATTGTTCATTTGTGATGTCATATATTATTAACACGCTGGCTGTGAGCGGGGCCTGTTGTGTTTTTTTGTGTGTCAGTGTTGACAGGTGGATTGATGTTTATAGAAGCCTTCAAGGCGAGACAAAGTCTCTACAGCCTGTCCTGTCACCCGAGTCCATGTTGACTTCACCTTCAATCTCACTGACGCTGAGAGATACTGAAAACCCACTTTTGACACAAACTTTAGTCTTATTATTAATATTGTCATGTTTAGAGAGTTAGGTCATTGTCCGAGGACAAGGAAGGAAAATCAACCTCTGCTGGTCTGCAGGCCAGATTTTTTTGTGTCACTTTGGATTATAATAACAAGGAAGGATACTAGCGTAGAGTCTGTTGCTAAATTATCTTGCCTTATGTTACATAAAGGTCGCCTGACATAATATTTCCCATCAGGAATCTGCAAGAATCAAGGTTTTCCCTAAAAATAACTCTTTTTCAGAATGGAGCTTCAAAGTTTTGTGCTAGGCAACGAAAGTGTCCTCGAAACCAAAACAGCTATTTCTTACTGGATCGTATCCTATTCTAAGAGTGATAATTAATTTCTGGGAAAAAAAAAGTGCTAAAATTACAATCTGCCTTTTGATAATTGGTTTAACAGTCAATAAATAAATAAATAAATAATGGTGTTGGTGACAGATAAAATTCTACTTAGCAAAAGTAAAGTCTTTAGAAATTGGCCCTGCAAACGGGGGCTAAAAGTGGACTTCATATTCACATTTGCCAAACGAGAAAATTTGAACTGAGGAAATTATTTATACGTGTCACCATCTACAGTTCACGATATCTTAAGAAGTCAGGATATCTCAGGGCAGTTTCTTTTCTTAACGATACTCAGTCAATCCTGAGTACGTGTCGATCCTTCGTCTTAACGTTACATGTGTCATACGATTCACGATCACCTGGTCATCGAAGCTCTACACTTTCCATTTGTAATGGAAAGACCAAGCCAGGGTGCAGAGAAACTCAGCAGAGACATGGGGTGAACATCAGAACTCAAATCAAACCAATGGTTGTCATGTCATGTGTTAAACCGACGGGGTTGTCAACTGCCCCGCTGTACTCCAGTAAAGAGGTGTTTGAAAAGTAGCTAGACAGCAGGACACAGTGTGGTTCCAAAAGCTGACAGACGCCATCATTCTCTATCACCAAGACAAGCCGCTTGTCCTCAAAGATGAATACAACCACCTTCTCTGTCATCATCGTGGCCTTGTCGCTCCCTCTGGAATATCTATCCTTACTTTTAAAAGTTTTGTCCTGAGTTTGTTTCTCTGCTAGTCCTTCGGTTTGGTGCTCCTGCGAACCCTGATTTTTTTTATTACTTATTGTGTCAAATCGGTATCACTGTACACAGCTCTCTCTCTCTGTCATGTTTTTTTCAATAATAACAAACTGATAACTCTAAATCTATTTCACTAAGAGGTGAAAAAGGTTTAGTCCTAAATGTAGC